CCTGTTGCGCCCCTTGTTTTGGCATCCAGACTTTCGTGCGGGTCTAATATAACCAATGATTGCGCCTCTCCTGCCGGGTGCGATCATACCAGCACTAATGCACCGGATCCCATCAGAACTCTGCAATTCAGCGTGCTTGGCTAGAGTAGTACTGGGAAGGGTGACCTCCTGGGAAGTCCTCGTGTTGCGCCCCTCTTTTCTGCCACCCAAATTCGTGCGAGTCCCGGGCTCACAGCTAAGCGTGCCTAGGCGGGAGAACCGCTGGGATGGGTGACCCCCTGGGAAGCCGCCCTGTTGCGCCCCTTGTTTTTGCATCCAGACTTTCGTGCGGGTCTAATATAACCAATGATTGCGCCTCTCCTGCCGGGTGCGATCATACCAGCACTATGAACCGGATCCCACAGGAACTCTGCAATTCAGCGTGCATGGGCTAGAGTAGTACTGGGATGGGTGACCTCCTAGGAAGTCCTCGTGTTGCGCCCCTCTTTTCTGCCACCCAAAATCCGTGCGAGTCCCGGGCTCACAGCTAAGCGTGCCTAGGCGGGAGTACCGCTGGGATGGGTAACCCCTGGGAAGCCGCCCTGTTGCGCCCCTTTTTTTTGCATCCAGACTTTCGTGCGGGTCTAATATAACCATTGATTGCGCCTCTCCTGCCGGGTGCGATCATAGCAACACTAATGCACCGGATCCCACCGAACTCGCAGTTCAGCGTGCTTGGGCTAGAGTAGTACTGAGATGGGTAACCTCCTGGGAAGTCCTCGTGTTGCGCCCCTCTTTTCTGCCACCCAAAATTCGTGCGAGTCCCGGGCTCACAGCTAAGCGTGCCTAGGCGGGAGAACCGCTGGGATGGGTGACCCCCTGGGAAGCCGCCCTGTTGCGCCCCTCTTTTTGCATCCAGACTTTCGTGCGGGTCTAATATAACCAATGATTGCGCCTCTCCTGCCGGGTGCGATCATACCAGCACTAATGCACCGGATCCCATCAGAACTCTGCAATTCAGCGTGCTTGGGCTAGAGTAGTACTGGGATGGGTGACCTCCTAGGAAGTCCTCGTGTTGCGCCCCTCTTTTCTCTGCGACCCAAAATCCGTGCGAGTCCCGGCTCACAGCTAAGCGTGCCTAGGCGGGAGTACCGCTGAAATGGGTACCCCATGGGAAGCCGCCCTGTTGCGCCCCTTGTTTTTGCATCCAGACTTTCGTGCGGGTGTAATATAACCATTGATTGCGCCTCTCCTGCCGGGTGCGATCATACCACACTAATGCACCGGATCCCACCGGAACTCCGCAATTCAGCGTGCTTGGGCTAGAGTAGTACTGGGATGGGTGACCTCCTGGGAAGTCCTCGTGTTGCGCCCTCTTTTCTGCCACCCAAATTCGTGCGAGTCCCGGGCTCACAGCTACGTGCCTAGGCGGGAGAACCGCTGGGATGGGTGACCCCCTGGGAAGCCGCCCTGTTGCCCCCTCTATTTTTGCATCCAGACTTTCGTGCGGGTCTAATATAACCAATGATTGCGCCTCTCCTGCCGGGTGCGATCATACCAGCACTAATGCACCGATCCCATCAGAACTCTGCAATTCAGCGTGCTTGGGCTAGAGTAGTACTGGGATGGGTGACCTCCTAGGAAGTCCTCGTGTTGCGCCCCTCTTTCTGCCACCCAAAATCCGTGCGAGTCCCGGGCTCACAGCTAAGCGTGCCTAGGCGGGAGTACCGCTGAATGGGTGACCCCCTGGGAAGCCGCCCTGTTGCGCCCCTTGTTTTGGCATCCAGACTTTCGTGCGGGTGTAATATAACCATTGATTGCGCCTCTCCTGCCGGGTGCGATCATACCAGCACTAATGCACCGGATCCCATCAGAACTCTGCAAGCGTGCTTGGGCTAGAGTAGTACTGGGATGGGTGACCTCCTAGGAAGTCCTCGTGTTGCGCCCCTCTTTTCTGCCACCCAAAATCCGTGCGAGTCCCGGGCTCACAGCTAAGCGTGCCTAGGCGGGGGAGTACCGCTGGGATGGGTGACCCCCTGGGAAGCCGCCCTGTTGCGCCCGTTGTTTTTGCATCCAGACTTTCGTGCGGGTCTAATATAACCAATGATTGCGCCTCTCCTGCCGGGTGCGATCATATTAGCATAATGCACCGGATCCCACAGAACTCTGCAATTCAGCGTGCTTGGGCTAGAGTAGTACTGGGATGGGTGACCTCCTAGGAAGTCCTCGTGTTGCGCCCCTCTTTTCTGCCACCCAAAATCCGTGCGAGTCCCGGGCTCACAGCTAAGCGTGCCTAGGCGGGAGTACCGCTGGGATGGGTGACCCCCTGGGAAGCCGCCCTGTTTGCCCCTTGTTTTTGCATCCAGACTTTCGTGCGGGTCTAATATAAACAATGATTGCGCCTCTCCTGCCGGGTGCGATCATACCAGCACTAATGCACCGGATCCCATCAGAACTCCGCAATTCAGCGTGCTTGGGCTAGAGTAGTACTGGGATGGGTGACCTCCTGGGAAGTCCTCGTGTTGCGCCCCTCTTTTCTGCACCCAAAATTCGTGCGAGTCCCGGGCTCACAGCTAAGCGTGCCTAGGCGGGAGAACCGCTGGGATGGGTGACCCCCTGGGAAGCCGTCCTGTTGCGCCCCTCTATTTTGCATCCAGACTTTCGTGCGGGTCTAATATAACCAATGATTGCGCCTCTCCTGCCGGGTGCGATCATACCAGCACTAATGCACCGGATCCCATCAGAACTCTGCAATTCAGCGTGCTTGGGCTAGAGTAGTACTGGGATGGGTGACCTCCTAGGAAGTCCTCGTGTTGCGCCCCTCTTTTCTGCCACCCAAAATCCGTGCGAGTCCCGGGCTCACAGCTAAGCGTGCCTAGGGGGGAGAACCGCTGGGATGGGTGACCCCCTGGGAAGCCGCCCTGTTGCGCCCCTTGTTTTGCATCCAGACTTTCGTGCGGGTCTAATATAACCAATGATTGCGCCTCTCCTGCCGGGTGCGATCATACCAGCACTAATGCACCGGATCCCATCAGAACTCCGCACTTCAGCGTGCTTGGGCTAGAGTAGTACTGGGACGGGTGACCTCCTGGGAAGTCCTCGTGTTGCGCCCCTCTTTTCTGCCACCCAAAATTCGTGCGAGTCCCGGGCTCACAGCTAAGCGTGCCTAGGCGGGAGAACGCTGGGATGGGTGACCCCCTGGGAAGCCGCCCTGTTGCGCCCCTTGTTTTGCATCCAGACTTTCGTGCGGGTCTAATATAACCAATGATTGCGCCTCTCCTGCCGGGTGCGATCATACCAGCACTAATGCACCGGATCCCATCAGAACTCTGCAATTCAGCGTGCATGGGCTAGAGTAGTACTGGGATGGGTGACCTCCTAGGAAGTCCTCGTGTTGCGCCCCTCTTTTCTGCCACCCAAAATCCGTGCGAGTCCCGGGCTCACAGCTAAGCGTGCCTAGGCGGGAGTACCGCTGGGATGGGTGACCCCCTGGGAAGCCGCCCTGTTGCGCCCCTTGTTTTTGCATCCAGACTTTCGTGCGGGTCTAATATAACCAATGATTGCGCCTCTCCTGCCGGGTGCGATCATACCAGCACTAATGCACCGGATCCCATCAGAACTCTGCAATTCAGCGTGCTTGGGCTAGAGTAGTACTGGGATGGGTACCTCCTGGGAAGTCCTCGTGTTGCCCCTCTTTTCTGCCACCCAAAATCCGTGCGAGTCCCGGGCTCACAGCTAAGCGTGCCTAGGCGGGAGTACCGCTGGGATGGGTGACCCCCTGGGAAGCCGCCCTGTTGCGCCCCTTGTTTTTGCATCCAGACTTTCGTGCGGGTCTAATATAACCAATGATTGCGCCTCTCCTGCGGGTGCGATCATACCAGCACTAATGCACCGGATCCCATCAGAACTCTGCAATTCAGCGTGCTTGGGCTAGAGTAGTACTGGGATGGGTAACCTCCTAGGAAGTCCTCGTGTTGCGCCCCTCTTTTCTGCCACCCAAAATCCGTGCGAGTCCCGGGCTCACAGCTAAGCGTGCCTAGGCGGGAGTACCGCTGGGATGGGTGACCCCTGGGAAGCCGCCCTGTTGCGCCCCTTGTTTTTGCATCCAGACTTTCGTGCGGGTCTAATATAACCAATGATTGCGCCTCTCCTGCCGGGTGCGATCATACCAGCATAATGCACCGGATCCCACAGAACTCTGCAATTCAGCGTGCATGGGCTAGAGTAGTACTGGGATGGGTTACCTCCTAGGAAGTCCTCGTGTTGCGCCCCTCTTTTCTGCCACCCAAAATCCGTGCGAGTCCCGGGCTCACAGCTAAGCGTGCCTAGGCGGGAGTACCGCTGGGATGGGTGACCCCTGGGAAGCCGCCCTGTTGCGCCCTTGTTTTTGCATCCAGACTTTCGTGCGGGTCATATAACCAATGATTGCGCCTCTCCTGCCGGGTGCGATCATACCAGCACTAATGCACCGGATCCCATCAGAACTCTGCAATTCAGCGTGCTTGGGCTAGAGTAGTACTGGGATGGGTGACCTCCTGGGAAGTCCTCGTGTTGCGCCCCTTTTTCTGCCACCCAAAATTCGTGCGAGTCCCGGGCTCACAGCTAAGCGTGCCTAGGCGGGAGAACCGCTGGGATGGGTGACCCCCGGGAAGCCGCCCTGTTGCGCCCCTGTTTTTGCATCCAGACTTTCGTGCGGGTCTAATATAACCAATGATTGCGCCTCTCCTGCCGGGTGCGATCATACCAGCACTAATGCACCGGATCCCATCAGAACTCTGCAATTCAGCGTGCTGGGCTAGAGTAGTACTGGGATGGGTGACCTCCTAGGAAGTCCTCGTGTTGCGCCCCTCTTTTCTGCCACCCAAAATCCGTGCGAGTCCCGGGCTCACAGCTAAGCGTGCCTAGGCGGGAGAACCGCTGGGATGGGTGACCCCCTGGGAAGCCGCCCTGTTGCGCCCCTTGTTTTTGCATCCAGACTTTCGTGCGGGTCTAATATAACCAATGATTACGCCTCTCCTGTCGGGTGCGATCATACCAGCACTAATGCACCGGATCCCATCAGAACTCCGCACTTCAGCGTGCTTGGGCTGGTAGAGTAGTACTGGGATGGGTAACCTCCTGGGAAGTCCTCGTGTTGCGCCCCTCTTTTCTGCCACCCAAAATTCGTGCGAGTCCCGGGCTCACAGCTAAGCGTGCCTAGGCGGGAGAACCGCTGGGATGGGTGACCCCCTGGGAAGCCGCCCTGTTGCGCCCCTTGTTTTTGCATCCAGACTTTCGTGCGGGTCTAATATAACCAATGATTGCGCCTCTCCTGCAGGGTGCGATCATACCAGCACTAATGCACCGGATCCCATCAGAACTCTGCAATTCAGCGTGCATGGGCTAGAGTAGTAGTGGGATGGGTGACCTCCTAGGAAGTCCTCGTGTTGCGACCCTCTTTTCTGCCACCCAAAATCCGTGCGAGTCCCGGGCTCACAGCTAAGCGTGCCTAGGCGGGAGTACCGCTGGGATGGGTGACCCCCTGGGAAGCCGCCCTGTTGCGCCCGTTGTTTTTGCATCCAGACTTTCGTGCGGGTCTAATATAACCAATGATTGCGCCTCTCCTGCCGGGTGCGATCATACCAGCACTAATGCACCGGATCCCATCAGAACTCTGCAATTCAGCGTGCTTGGGCTAGAGTAGTACTGGGATGGGTACCTCCTAGGAAGTCCTCGTGTTGCGCCCCTCTTTTCTGCGACCCAAAATCCGTGCGAGTCCCGGGCTCACAGCTAAGCGTGCCTAGGCGGGAGTACCGCTGGGATGGGTGACCCCCTGGGAAGCCGCCCTGTTGCGCCCCTTGTTTTTGCATCCAGACTTTCGTGCGGGTCTAATATAACCAATGATTGCGCCTCTCCTGCCGGGTGCGATCATATTAGCATAATGCACCGGATCCCACAGAACTCTGCAATTCAGCGTGCATGGGCTAGAGTAGTACTGGGATGGGTGACCTCCTAGGAAGTCCTCGTGTTGCGCCCCTCTTTTCTGCCACCCAAAATCCGTGCGAGTCCCGGGCTCACAGCTAAGCGTGCCTAGGCGGGAGAGTACCGCTGGGATGGGTGACCCCCTGGGAAGCCGCCCTGTTGCGCCCCTTGTTTTTGCATCCAGACTTTCGTGCGGGTCTAATATAACCAATGATTGCGCCTCTCCTGCCGGGTGCGATCATACCAGCACTAATGCACCGGATCCCATCAGAACTCGCAATTCAGCGTGCTTGGGCTAGAGTAGTACTGGGATGGGTGACCTCCTGGGAAGTCCTCGTGTTGCGCCCCTCTTTTCTGCCACCCAAAATTCGTGCGAGTCCCGGGCTCACAGCTAAGCGTGCCTAGGCGGGAGAACGCTGGGATGGGTGACCCCCTGTGAAGCCGCCCTGTTGCGCCGCTTGTTTTTGCATCCAGACTTTCGTGCGGGTCTAATATAACCAATGATTGCGCCTCTCCTGCCGGGTGCGATCATACCAGCACTAATGCACCGGATCCCATCAGAACTCTGCAATTCAGCGTGCTTGGGCTAGAGTAGTACTGGGATGGGTGACCTCCTGGGAAGTCCTCGTGTTGCGCCCCTCTTTTCTGCCACCCAAAATCCGTGCGAGTCCCGGGCTCACAGCTAAGCGTGCCTAGGCGGGAACCGCTGGGATGGGTGACCCCTGGGAAGCCGCCCTGTTGCGCCCCTTGTTTTTGCATCCAGACTTTCGTGCGGGTCTAATATAACCAATGATTGCGCCTCTCCTGCCGGGTGCGATCATACCAGCACTAATTCACCGGATCCCATCAGAACTCCGCACTTCAGCGTGCTTGGGCTAGAGTAGTACTGGGATGGGTGACCTCCTGGGAAGTCCTCGTGTTGCGCCCCTCTTTTCTGCGACCCAAAATCCGTGCGAGTCCCGGGCTCACAGCTAAGCGTGCTAGGCGGGAGAGTACCGCTGGGATGGGTGACCCCTGGGAAGCCGCCCTGTTGCGCCCCTTGTTTTGCATCCAGACTTTCGTGCGGGTCTAATATAACCAATGATTGCGCCTCTCCTGCCGGGTGCGATCATAGCAACACTAATGCACCGGATCCCACGGAACACCGCATTCAGCGTGCTTGGGCTAGAGTAGTACTGGGATGGGTAACCTCCTGGGAAGTACTCGTGTTGCGCCCCTCTTTTCTGCCACCAAAATCCGTGCTAGTCCCGGGCTCACAGCTAAGCGTGCCTAGGCGGGAGAACCGCTGGGATGGGTGACCCCCTGGGAAGCCGCCCTGTTGCGCCCCTTGTTTTGCATCCAGACTTTCGTGCGGGTCTAATATAACCAATGATTGCACCTCTCCTGCCGGGTGCGATCATACCAGCACTAATGCACCGGATCCCATCAGAACTCTGCATTCAGCGTGCTTGGGCTAGAGTAGTACTGGGATGGGTGACCTCCTAGGAAGTCCTCGTGTTGCGCCCCTCTTTTCTGCCACCCAAAATCCGTGCGAGTCCCGGGCTCACAGCTAAGCGTGCCTAGGCGGGAGTACCGCTGGGATGGGTGACCCCCTGGGAAGCCGCCCTGTTGCGCCCCTTGTTTTTGCATCCAGACTTTCGTGCGGGGTCTAATATAACCAATGATTGCGCCTCTCCTGCCGGGTGCGATCATACCAGCACTAATGCACCGGATCCCATCAGAACTCTGCAATTCAGCGTGCTTGGGCTAGAGTAGTACTGGGATGGGTGACCTCCTGGGAAGTCCTCGTGTTGCGCCCCTCTTTTCTGCCACCCAAAATCCGTGCGAGTCCCGGGCTCACAGCTAAGCGTGCCTAGGCGGGAGTACGCTGGGATGGGTGACCCCCTGGGAAGCCGCCCTGTTGCGCCCCTTGTTTTGCATCCAGACTTTCGTGCGGGTCTAATATAACCAATGATTGCGCCTCTCCTGCCGGGTGCGATCATACCAGCACTAATGCACCGGATCCCATCAGAACTCTGCAATTCAGCGTGCTTGGGCTAGAGTAGTACTGGGATGGGTGACCTCCTAGGAAGTCCTCGTGTTGCGCCCCTCTTTTCTGCCCCCAAAATCCGTGCGAGTCCCGGGCTCACAACTAAGCGTGCCTAGGCGGGAGTACCGCTGGGATGGGTGACCCCCTGGGAAGCCGCCCTGTTGCGCCCCTTGTTTTTGCATCCAGACTTTCGTGCGGGTCTAATATAACCAATGATTGCGCCTCTCCTGCCGGGTGCGATCATATTAGCATAATGCACCGGATCCCACAGAACTCTGCAATTCAGCGTGCTTGGGCTAGAGTAGTACTGGGATGGGTGACCTCCTAGGAAGTCCTCGTGTTGCGCCCCTCTTTTCTGCCACCCAAAATCCGTGCGAGTCCCGGGCTCACAGCTAAGCGTGCCTAGGCGGGAGAGTACCGCTGGGATGGGTGACCCCCTGGGAAGCCGCCTGTTGCGCCCTTGTTTTTGCATCCAGACTTTCGTGCGGGTCTAATATAACCAATGATTGCGCCTCTCCTGCCGGGTGCGATCATACCAGCACTAATGCACCGGATCCCATCAGAACTCTGCAATTCAGCGTGCTTGGGCTAGAGTAGTACTGGGATGGGTGACCTCCTGGGAAGTCCTCGTGTTGCGCCCCTCTTTTCTGCCACCCAAAATTCGTGCGAGTCCCGGGCTCACAGCTAAGCGTGCCTAGGCGGGAGAACGGGGATGGGTGACCCCCTGGGAAGCCGCCCTGTTGCGCCCCTCTTTTTGCATCCAGACTTTCGTGCGGGTCTAATATAACCAATGATTGCGCCTCTCCTGCCGGGTGCGATCATACCAGCACTAATGCACCGGATCCCATCAGAACTCTGCATTCAGCGTGCATGTGGGCTAGAGTAGTACTGGGATGGGTGACCTCCTAGGAAGTCCTCGTGTTGCGCCCCTCTTTTCTGCCACCCAAAATCCGTGCGAGTCCCGGGCTCACAGCTAAGCGTGCCTAGGCGGGAGTACCGCTGGGATGGGTGACCCCCTGGGAAGCCGCCCTGTTGCGCCCCTTGTTTTTGCATCCAGACTTTCGTGCGGGTCTAATATAACCAATGATTGCGCCTCTCCTGCCGGGTGCGATCATACCAGCACTAATGCACCGGATCCCATCAGAACTCCGCAATTCAGCGTGCTTGGGCTAGAGTAGTACTGGGATGGGTGACCTCCTGGGAAGTCCTCGTGTTGCGCCCCTCTTTTCTGCCACCCAAAATCCGTGCGAGTCCCGGGCTCACAGCTAAGCGTGCCTAGGCGGGAGTACCGCTGGGATGGGTGACCCCCTGGGAAGCCGCCCTGTTGCGCCCCTTGTTTTTGCATCCAGACTTTCGTGCGGGTCTAATATAACCAATGATTGCGCCTCTCCTGCCGGGTGCGATCATACCAGCACTAATGCACCGGATCCCACCGGAACACCGCATTCAGCGTGCTTGGGCTAGAGTAGTACTGGGATGGGTAACCTCCTGGGAAGTACTCGTGTTGCGCCCCTCTTTTCTGCCACCCAAAATCTGTGCGAGTCCCGGGCTCACAGCTAAGCGTGCCTAGGCGGGAGAACCGCTGGGATGGGTGACCCCTGGGAAGCCGCCCTGTTGCGCCCCTTGTTTTTGCATCCAGACTTTCGTGCGGGTCTAATATAACCAATGATTGCGCCTCTCCTGCCGGGTGCGATCATACCAGCACTAATGCACCGGATCCCACAGAACTCTGCATTCAGCGTGCATGGGCTAGAGTAGTACTGGGATGGGTGACCTCCTAGGAAGTCCTCGTGTTGCGCCCCTCTTTTCTGCCACCCAAAATCCGTGCGAGTCCCGGGCTCACAGCTAAGCGTGCCTAGGCGGGAGTACCGCTGGGATGGGTGACCCCCTGGGAAGCCGCCCTGTTGCGCCCCTTGTTTTTGCATCCAGACTTTCGTGCGGGTCTAATATAACCAATGATTGCGCCTCTCCTGCCGGGTGCGATCATACCAGCACTAATGCACCGGATCCCATCAGAACTCTGCAATTCAGCGTGCTTGGGCTAGAGTAGTACTGGATGGGTGACCTCCTGGGAAGTCCTCGTGTTGCGCCCCTCTTTTCTGCCACCCATAATTCGTGCGAGTCCCGGGCTCACAGCTAAGCGTGCCTAGGCG